ACGCTGAACACGATTATGATGTTTATTTCGCGCGGTAGCGCCATTCAATTGATAAGTGGATTACGGTAGGGGGCAGGGCAAAATCGCGGATTATTCCGAAACTTTTTAGAGGGGTTATTTGGTAGCTGAACACGAGTATGATGTTTATTTCGTGCGGCAGCCCCATCCGGTGGAGTCGGTAGGATTGATCCAAACCCGATTTGTCCGAAAGTCTACCGCAGCTCTACCTGATGGCGCTGCCGCACAAGATAAACATCATATTCGTGTTCAGAATGCCAATTAACCCCTCTAAACGAAGTGGGCAAATACCTGAGTTTGACCCCCCAGTAACCCCACCTAACTCTCCCAGATGGACCGCGCGAAATAAGCATTTGGTGTTCAGCGTACCAAATAACCCCCTAGACGAAGTTGTAGCGAAATTCAGGATTTTCTTTTTTGGGCCAACTAATGTGGGATAGCGCCCCGGTTTTTTCGAAAGCAAAAAGCTTTGCTATCTGATGGTGTGCACTTTTCACTGGGTATGTGCAATTCGAGAATATGCCCTACCATCACAGAAAAACGGAGGTTCTTTACGCAGTCTGGATTAGCGCGCTCCATGAAGCGAGGCACACGACGCGGAGGTTGCGCAACGCGGCTCTTGCCTTTGATAGCTCGCGTTTTAGACCAGACTATTTTATCTGTTTCTTTTAACTTTTACCTGCGTGTATTCATTGTCATTCTTTCGATTCGTAAACTTGTAGGGATAGACAATGGTCCGTCACAAGAAAAACGAAGAAGAATACGCAGATGAAAAGAGAATAATAGCCATTGGTGACGTCCATAAGAAGGTAGGATCAGTTACTTTTATTTTGATTCCGTTACCAAATTAATTGATGTTTTTCTATTCGCTAATTTTACTGATGACTCGCTTCAGTTGGTGCATGTGAAAAGCCGTCAGGATCGAGTAAACGAGGCTCTTGAAGCGTTGCAATGTTATACGGATAAAGGAGGCACACTGTCTTTGAAGAATAAAGCCAAATCCCTTGCTCTTTATCAAACGCTATTGAAAGCTTGTGAAAGCGAGGGAGAGTATATCAGGTAAGAAATACTAACGGTCGTGTATAGAGCGGAATTTAACTAGATATCCAGTTTTATTGTTAAGTCCATGCTCAGCCCTTTCTTGAAAGCTTTACAATTAATTTCAATCCAGGAGACTGCTGTGCGATATTGAGAGGATAAGAAAGTCTGATTACAAAACGAAGATGAAGACTCACCTCAAGCGCCATGTTTTAATGCAACTTATCAATTTGCAGGTGCGTAGTTCGTTAGCAGTTTGATATCATCACGACGTGTTCTCACATTAACTGTTTTTGTTTATTCTTTTGTAATTTGAGTTATAATCTTCTCTTCTTCTGTGAAAGCAGCGTGTACTGTGCCATACAATTCTTTTAAAAAGGTGCGAGAAAAAGTTCGAAAGCCTTCTTATTGAGAAATTCTGTTATTACGTTGACCTAAACTAGAAAAATTAGACCTATACAGTTTTTGCTTAGCAG